TACACGTGTGTCTCCCCGAGTGGCAGCTCTTGTATCCAGGAACTGCTTATCATCCCTTTATCTGCAGGGCCCAGAACACGGCAGGTGCTCTGCACGTGCATTCAGGGAATGAACAGGTGGATGTCTGGGTTCCCAGAACTCAGGGACGCTCTTGTGCGCCTAGCACCCATTTCTCTCACGCCCGACTGCCACGGAAGAGGAGTGGAAGAGAAACAGGCAGCGGGTCTTTGTTCCAGCCATGGGGCCTGTGGACACGTGATCCAGGGTCACGATGGCGGCTCTGGGTACAATGCCTGGCAGCTGCTGAAGCTCCGTCCGCCATCCCTAACTCCTGAAGGGGAGCCGCGCTCTTCCCGCAGGGTCGTGACGCATTACAAATTCAGGCATCAAGCAGGAAGGCTACAGCTCAGTGCCCATGAGATAAACGCACACAGCTCGTTTGCACAGAGCAAACATGCTGGCTGCTGTCAGCTTTGTTGGACCCACAGGGACCACAGCGTGGGGATCAAGGAGGCTGGCTTCAGGCGGACGGGCCTCACCCTTCCGGCTCAGCAGGAAATAGTCCTTGCCGCTGAGACTCCCGGGGGGGGGGGGGTAGGACGGGACTGGGTTCCAATTCTAGCTCTGTCACTCAGCGATTCAAACCTGGGCTCATCTCCTCTCCTCTCTGAACCTCCAATTTGTTCATCGGTAACATGGGGATTATGGGAACTCTTCGGAGAGGCCCCGGTGAGGATCGAATAAGGGAACGTAAGTGGTTTATGACGGGCATAGTATACGTGGGTTTTTCACTGCTCCAAAAACCTTCTCAGGTTCTCTGATCTGTGACCGTGGCTCTGGCCGATAAATTATTCCATAGAAGAAGTAACTGAGCTTGTTAAGTGCCTTCCTAGACTTTTAACGAAGTTTATCGGATTTTAGGAAATAGCAAAGTATAGGTGCTAGGGGCTGCTAGGTTCACTCACTGGGCAGTAAGTATCAATGCTAATAATGGGGCTAACAGATGAGCATCTAACATGAGCCTGCGATCATTCTAAGCATTTTATTTTTTATTTTTATTTTTTAAGTAAAAAAGCCCGTTTTTTAATGCTTATTTATCTTGAGGGAGAAAGAGAGAGACAGAGCACGAGCAGGGGAGGGGCAGAGAGAGAAGGAGACACAGAATCCGAAGCAGGCTCCAGGCTCCGAGCTGTCAGCACAGAGCCCGACGCGGGGCTCGAACCCGCAAACCGCGAGATCATGACCTGAGCCGCAGTCAGACGCTTAACCGACGGAGCCAGCCAGGCGCCCCTCTAAGCCTTTTACATACATCCTTCAGTCTTGGCAACCACACTGTGAAGTTGATGATATTATTTTTCTGGTTCTACGGAGGACAGACACTGAGGCCCAGAGAGGCTGAACACCGTTCACAGTTACACAGCCAGTTAGAGGCAGAGCCTGGTTTCAAGCAGGTGGTCTCGAGCCCCAGCCTGTGTCTGAACCTCGGGGCTATACCGTCTACGAGGGGCTCATTCTGGGTTCCCAACCTGATGGCATTTTACAGTGCTAACTGTGCTGTCGCAAATGACAAGGACAAGAGTACCTGATGCTCGCAGAGCACTTACCCCGTGAGTGCACCTGGCTGAGGCTTGGGTGCTCGAACCCACAAACCGTGAGATCGTGGCCTGAGCCGAAATCGAGGGTCGGAAGCTCAGCAGGCTGAGCCACGCAGGCGCCCCTGGCAGAGCCCGCCTTTAACCAGCACGTAGGTCTTACAAGCGGAGGATGACGCAGGTGCATGAGTTTCTGGAAACGCCCAAGCTTAGTCTTGGCACGTCATTACTCAACCGGCGCAACTCAATTCCAAGACACCGCACGGGGCAACCGCTTTGACCTCAGGGCTCCCCACCTACACGGCAGCTTCGCGAGGGCAGGTCTCCTTCCTGAGCCCACCGCGGCTGCTCCTGCCCAGCCCGTCAGCCTCATGCCCCGTCCTTCCCTTCACCAGAGGGTCTCCCTAGGGGCAGGACTTAGCCACCCGGGTCCACGGGCCTCCAGAGGATCATCTGGATAGAATTCAGGGGGTCAGAGAACTTGGAAGGGAATAAGAAAAAATCACAGCTCTGCGTTCACTGATGTCGACTGAGTTGAGTATTTCCTTTAGTTGTGCGTCACCTCTAGAAATCACATATAAATGCCTCTCACGTTGTATAGGTGCAGGTGCCTTGAGATACCACTTACGCCTATCACTGCCTCGAAATTATGGTGCTTATTAGACCTGCCTCTGGATCTTATTATTGAATGGTTTAATAAAGAAGCACATATCGTGCTAAATTATAAATTTGTGGTTTTAATATTTTGATACTATTTTTAATGTAGTTAGTGCACCTTCTAATCCAATATATTTTTATTGGATGCATTGAAAAACAATATTCCCAGGAGTCTCTAGTCTTTATCAGACTTCCAAAGAGTCCCTGGCTCATGAAATATTTATAGCAATCCTTTGAGGTAGGACTCTGTTATCGCCTCTCATAATTCCCATTTTACAGAAGATAAAGCTCGGGCACAGGGAGGTCAAGGATACGGCCCAAGGGTACACAGTAAGTGAAGAACAAGGATGTGGATTCATGGCAATCTAGAGCAGAGCCTGCGTTCTTGGCCAGCACACTTGGTCTAGGCCCCCTCGGTGCCCTTGTAGGCTTCCAGATCATTCCTCGCTGGAATGTGATCACTGCTTTATCTCTTGGCAAACTCCAAGGACCCTCAAGATGCCCAACCCTCAAGATGCTTGGGCATCTTGGTTGGGCCTATGTACCCAACCCTCAAGATGCTTGGGACTGGTTTTATTGGTCTCTGAAACCCTGGTGCCTGAGCCAATGTTGAACCCAGAAAGGGTTCTAAATAAAAGTTTTTGAATGAATAAACCCATAATGCATCATACACTGTTGAGCAAAGACCCCTTTTTCCTGCCAGAATCTTTCATGCATTAACAAAAAGGCCCCAAACCAAATAATTTGTCCACATTTTATAACGGCATCAGTATCGAGTTGTGCATTTTTACAGCACTTTTGACGTGGCCAAGAATTTTTATATCCCTTCGACTTGAACCTCGAGTGTAAATTGGGCTGGACGGGAATGAGGCACTTGCTTTCACAGAGTAGTAAATGGAGGCTCCAGGCGATTGGTTCCAGGCAGTAAAGCACAGGGATGAAGGGCAGAGGCTGGGATCCCAGCAGTGGCCTGGATTCAAGCGCGGCTCAGCCACGCCCTGGCTGACCACGCACGCACGGGAGCTTCACCTCCCAGAGCCCAGTGACCTCACCCACAGGACAGGGACAGCTATGGCTGCCGTGTGGAATTGCCGTCAGCCTTACAAGGGAGGGTGCGTGCTGTCCAGAACAAGTTTCTGGCATGCCGTCAGGACGCAGTAAATAGTATCGGCCCCCCAAGATCAGGGGAAGGATGTTACGGTGTTGGTGTTACTGCAGGGCAAATGCATTCGAGAGCGTGTGCCGCAGCCGGGTTAGAATTCAATTCTCATGCCAACTCAGCCACACGGCTGGAATAAAACCCCGTCCTTCCCTGGACCTTGGTTTCCTGATCCGCAAAACACGGGGGGTAAGACAGGTTCAGGATGCCTGGGCTCCAAGTGCCTTCTTCACATGAAAGTTCTGTGCAGAGTCAACTTGGAAAACAAAACCGGGGGCTGCCCAGTGTAGAGACAGGGTGGGACCTCCCCACCCCCCCACCCCCAGGAGCTCTTGGGGCACTGCTTGAAGTCAGCTGGAACAGCTGGTTTAGCTGGAGGTCAGCACGAGAGAGTAAGGGCCGGTGTAGCCCTGCAGACCCGTCTCCTTTGGTGTGAGGAGTTACAACGGAAGGTGTGTGTGTGTGGCTGGGGGGGGCTGTTGGTGGATTTCGGCGTCTCTAGACGGGCTACCTCGTAAGGTAAGGTAGCCCGCTTTCATCCATGTTCCAACTTCTCCAGCCCAACTCTTAGAGTGTGTACATCTTTAAGGAGAGTCGGGATCTCCCCACCCCAACCTGTTCCCTTCTTTCCTCTGATTCTCACTGTCATGATTGGGAGCCTTGAGGCTTCCTGGGAACATAACATTGATGCAAAAGGCTGACTACACAGGGCCTCTGCCAGGGGACGCTCTCGGGAGCTGAGCAGTGAGCTGAGCCGGTGGAACCCCCTCCTACGAGATGGGTCCATGGGCCCGCGGTGTAAACGGCCTTTGTTACTTCATATTGTTAAACCGCGGCGCAGGGAGACCGGCACCGTGTGGAAGAAGAACGCAGCGGGGTCAGGCCAGGCTGTGGCGAGGCTCGGGGAAAGCCTATCGAGCGGATCTTCTTTCCCAAATGACTTTCCTCATGTAAAATTGTCTTCTATTATTGCTGGAAAAGGGGTTTTTAAAAGAGGTTAACACGCGACTTAATGAATATGGAGTAATAATGTTCCTTGTATCAAATTAAAATTCTAAGAGTGCCACACGAAACAAGTACATTAGGAGTATCCGACATTATGTATGATTATTACCGGACTGCTTGATTGCCCTACATACTTGGGAGTAAAAGAAGCAGTTCCAAGTCTTGCATTTGAATTGGCGAGCGGCACCCTCACGGTGAGAATCTGGGCAGGCCCGAAGCATGCCCACCCCGCTCAGGAACATCCTGCGATATTAAGATACATCCTCATGATAAACCAGAGGGATAACGGAACCGATAGACAAGAGCATTGTCTCCGTGGAAGCAGGGGGTAGAGAGGGGTACGGACGAGTTGGGATTCCAGGGGCTCTATCCTTACGCTGCGTGACCTTAGGCAACTCACTACACCTTTCTGAGCCTCCCGTTCCCGACACTGTTATGTAGTCTGGATAAAGGACGGCCGTTGAGGGTACACCGAGGTTCCAGATGTGACGGCACTTTGGAAGGGCTAGTGGGTGACTGAGTTCTGGGGATTGAGGATGATGGAAAGGTCTTTATGACAATTGCTTCCCTGTTCTTGCTGCTAAGTGCTCACTAAGGGCCAGGTATTATTTCACTCGGTTCTACTGTAACTTTATGTGCTAAGTATTGTTATCAACTCCATTTTATAGAGTAGGAAAGAGAGGTTCAGAATGGCTGATAAGCCGCCCAAGGCCACGGGACCAGTAAGCAGCAGGGATTTAAACCCAAGTCAGAAGACGCTAAAACCTCTCAGTTCTTACGCTGTATTCGCCTCTAAAATACGCCTGACAAGCTGCTTCCAAACTGTGCTTGAACACCTCCAGGGACGAAGGGCTCATTACCACCCTCATCCGTATCCTCACAATGAGTGCTCTCCCCTGACACATAAAGCATTATTATGGTGAGATTATTATCTGTAAAATAGAGTGATTGGAGTAGATGCTCTCTTAAGGTCTATTCCAGAAACATCACTTGGAGAGAGCACAAGCATTTACCGACAAATCCAGCCTGGCTGCGGAAGAAAGGATTAAACATCTCCGTATGAAAATGGAACGCAGCGAGTAAGAGGTGTGTGTGTGAATGGGGGCAATTAATCCTCTTTTGCCGATCACTATAAAAAAACATTTGCTGGAGAGGAGGCATTTATTCCCTGCAGACACACGGTGCGATTTTAAAATATCTCCACAGAAGGAAAGATGACGGAGGAAATACAAATCTATTAAATGTGCAGGGCAGAAGAAAAAGGGGCTTCCATAAAAGGATTTCTAAAGCGTATCAAAGGCTTCTGGGGTCAGCGAGGGCTGTCGGAACACTACCAATTAGAGCTAAATGGGAAACCGGCTTAAATCTCAAAATTAAAGATTAAGAGCGCCAATTAACTTGTCTTCTAACAGAAAACATAGCCCTTAATGCTCAGTGTAATTTAATATTTCAAAATTATGACCACAAGCATCTAAGGCTGCCGTTCGACAATATAAAATGGACAATAAAAATCTCCGCGGGGCCTTGGCTATCCCGGCCGAACGGGCGTTGAACTACGCGGGTACAGGGTGGCTCTGAAGTCACAATGGCTGGACTGGCCCCGGGCACAGTTAGAACTCGCCCCAGGACACCTCAGCTCCGTTTTCCAAAGACCCATTCTCTGGCCAGCAGGAACCTTTTGATTTGTGTTTCGCAGGCTTTAATAAGGTGGATTATGCTGATGTGAGCGGAGGAAACCCCCAGCCGTGCTGAGAGGGGCCGCAGACTTTTCCGGCAGATTTCTCCAAAGCAGGGCTTTTCAACCTTGAGGAGCTTTGAAAATGCCTCACCCCTGGGCCTTCGTATAGACCGCAAGCCCAGGGCATTGGAATTTTTTAAAGCTCTCGGTTCATTCTCACTGGCACCCGGGGTTGAAAACTGCTCCTCTGAAATATTGTGGACCCACCGAAGAAGAGAAAGCGGACATCTGGAACATAGGAAAGCGTTGATTTATGCTGGAGTCACCAGGATGATACCCGCCATGCTGACAGTGAGCTGTGCAGATGAGAACACGGGCCCACGGAAAAATTTCCTCCTGGCAGGTAGGAACTGGGAGCTGAGTAGAACACAGAATTCAGCCTCTGACAAAGTCTTGGAGCATAAAACCAGAAATATAAAAAGCCCACGGCTGAGAATCTAGGAGTCTGGGGACACCCCTACACGTGTGAGGCCCCTGTGGGTGACCGGCCTTCCTAAGGAGGGTGAAGCTGAAACCCCCAGGTGGAGCTGTCCAGGACCTCCTCCTGGCCTTGAACCAGCTTCTCCGTGACTCTTCTCCCATTGCCTGGGTAACAGCGTGGGGCACTGGGCAAGTTCCCAAGTCTGCAGACAGATGGATGAACTCAGGGTGCAGAGACACCATTTAACGAGTGATCTGGGGCAAAGAGCTCCCCACCTCGAGCTTCCTCAGTTTCCTCATCTATAAAACACAGATAATAACAGGACTCACGGGGTTAGTGTAAGGACCGCCTGAGATCAGCCCTGCGGGCCCCCGGCGAGGCGTCTGGCTTCACGGATGTCCCTTCACAGACCCGCTCTCGACATCCACCGTGTATCACCTCGTGCCTCCCTGCCGCCGTGCTTTCGCCCAGCCAGGACCCTCCACCTGGAGTGCCTTCCCTCATCGTCCATCGCTCCCTGTCCGATCCCACATTATTTGCCCTGATGCCGGGTTAGATGCTACACTTACCCCTCACTTTTTTCTCTTTGCTGCTTCTCCATTCCAGAATTTAGGTTTTAAACTCTCCAACAGGACTGCTCTCTCCTCTTGACCGTTCACCTCACCTGCGTCCTGGACCCCTACTTGGCAGTGACCATCGTCTGCCTGAGTCACACCGTCACTCCCCCCCACCCACCCCCGCTTAGGATTCCCTGAGGATAACCGGTGTGGCATTTCATCTCCTGGAGGCCAGTGTGGAGTCTCAGAAAAAGCATGTGCTTTGGCACGAATCCTCCCAGCGAGCCAAAGAGGTAAGCCCTATTCTTATCCCCACTTTACAGATGAGGAAATCGAGGCGGAGGTTAAGTCACTTGCCTCAAGGCAAACAGCTCTAGTTCAGAGCCGGGGCTCGAGCCCAGTAGGCTGGGCTCCAGAGTCCTGGCTCTTTACCGCTTTGGGATGCATCCTTGCAGAGTGAGGTGAGAAGAGACAGGAAGGAGAAAGGAACGACCAAGGAGACTGGGTTATGGAGACACCCTGAGCCCCAGCGGGAGCAGGGAGGCTGTCATCAGCATCAGGGGGCCTCGGGGAGGTCACATGAGCCCCGAGTTTCCTTTCCCATCACTGTCTGTGTGAACCACCGAGGACGGGCTCAGAGGTCACTGACCAAGCATCTGGTCCGGAGTGATGCCCTTGTGCCCAGACACTGCCCAGCCCTTCTCCAACCTACCTGGATGGGTGGATAACTCCGAGTCCCAACCTTCCCCCAACCAGAAGGTGGGGGGCCCTAGGCGTCTAGAGTGATGGTGGCGGCATGAAGGAAAAGACCACACCGTGGCCGAGAGCAGACTGAAAGAAGAAAGAACCAGCTGGAAACCTCCCATCTAGCAGGGCCCGTGTGAAACGCAAGCAGTAACATACCATGTGGCCCACGATCCCGTGGGCTGGAGCTCTGCTAGAGCAAAGCAGCACTCCTTCTCCCCTTCTTTCTCATGGCCGGGCTCCAGCGCCCTTCTCTGATCCCGCTGGTGACCGTCCTCCGGCCCACAGCCCTTCCCACGCACCCCTCTATAATGACAGTGGTCACTCTGCCTTACGCTTAAGCCCGTGGCCTGCTTGGTCGTGCAGACCGTGCTGGGCTTGAAGATCAGGTCCAGTCTTATTCATCTCGGTCTTCGCCAAGCCATCCCCCCAGCATGTGCCCGGTAAGCCAGGGTCGGCTGGCTGGATGGTGCCCCCCGCTAGACAGATCAGCCAACTGGCGCACATCACCTTGACCCGGTGGGCCACATGAATTCTGAGGCCTGCACAGCTCCTGGGAAGTCTCCTTCCCTCTGCCCTCTCCCCACCAGCTCACTCTATGCTGCTGACCATCCTGCCCCCACCACGGTCGTTAACTGGGTGGGGGAAGGTCTTAGGTGGCTCACTTAACTCCTCTGAGCCTCAGCTGCCCCATCTGGAGAAGGGGTCCGTAGTGCCTGCCTTACAGAGTCATTCGAGGATACAGCGAGCTGCCATTGAAGGAGCCTCGCACAGGCCCTGGCAACAGGAGACTCCTACAGTCACTGGTTTCCTGTTGGGATCCTCCCTTCCAAATCGCAAAAACAAAGTGCTTCCGTCTGGCCCCGCTGGCATCCTTCTGCTGGTTCCTAGGCAGTGCGGGGGGCTCCAGGGTTACCCCGCAGGGCCCTTCTCCCAGCCTCCTTCACGGTGATGGCATGAGAACAAAGCCAGGCCTCATACGGGTCTCCCAGGACCCTTGCCAGGGGGACGTCAATCCCTCCCCCTCAGCACAATGAGGGCCCTTTGCCTCCGCACTGTCACCTCCCCCGGGGAAGGCTGGTGTCACGGAAGGGCCTCCAGGGGAGGATGCCCTCGGGCAATACCGAAACCTGGTGCTGGTGGTAGTCGTGTGCCCTCCCCCCATCCCGTCCCGACCCCCACCAAAGCTTCTGAGGGGCTTCAGCGCTGCAGACCCAGGGGCTGAAACCGCTCTTCTGCAAAATCAGCCTTCACAGACCAAACCAGAACAGGAACAGTTTGAAAACTCAGTGATTTTAGGCCCAGAGAACTAAATGTTCAGAGGAGAGCACAGAGCAAGGTCTGCTCCACGGAGGGGGCGCTGGGGGTGGGGGCGGACACTAGTGCTTCCCCCCCTCCCCTCCCCCCCCCCCCCCCCCCCCAGCCCCGCCGCCAAGTAAAACGTAAGTCGTTTGGATTTTCCGGCTTGCCTTCCTTAACAGTTCATGGAGGGGCTGCTTCTGCTATTTGTAACCTTTAAAAAAAAAAAAAAAGACACAAAACTCCTCGAGGTGTTTTTCCAATTCTTGGGACAGCCTTTCGGGGTTTGTTTTTATGTTCACAAATTCATCCTGTTCTCCTAGCAAAGCCGAGAGGCGGGCGGCCATGGTTCTCTTCCTTGTTTTCTAGATGACTAAGCGCAGGAGGCTCAGAGAGGTGAAGACAGTTGTCCCTGGTCACCCAGCTAGCGAGTGCTGGGCTGGGGTCTGAACCCCTCTCACCACCAACTGGTAAATTTCCCTTTGTGCCCTGGGGCTTCCGGATTGGGGGGGGGGCGGGGGCGGGAAGGGAGGAGAACGACCAGGTTTCGGGCTTTTTCTGCTTTTCTGTCTCTCTCTCTCACCAGCTACAGGGATGGCCGGCCCAGAGCAGAGCACCTGAAGGGCTGTCTAGAAGGCAAGGAGCGTGGGAGGGGAAGAGATCGGGGACATTCACTCGTGGGCTAACTTCTGTTTCTGTTCCCTGTTGCAGGTACTTGTTCCTCTGCCATATCACTTGGGCTTCCGCATAGTTTTCCTCTGAAGAAAGGGATACACAGCTTAAAAATAAATGGAAACCAGCGCACCAGACCAAGCGAAGTCCGGGGCTCGTGCCTGGCGGATCGGCGTGTGATAAGGTGGGTTTCCGTGCAGGCCGTGGGGAAACACGAAACTCACAAACCTAGAAGAGACTGGAGAGCCTCGGAGCCCGCCAGCGCGAGTGGTGGGGGGCGGTGCCTCTTCGCTGAATTTGAATTTAAAATCCTTAGCCCTTAAAAAAAAAAACAAAAAAACAAAAAAACAAAAAAAACAAAAAAACAAAACAAAAAAAAAAAACGGGCAAGACCCACCGTGCTACCTCCCAGCGGCAAAACCCCGGGGAAGGTTTTGCAAGGGGAAGGTTTGTAAGATGTGGGCCTGGCCTGGCCTGAGGGGCGTGGCCCGCTAGGAAGGTCTGCTCCTGATGCCCTGCCAGCGACTCTGACCTCCAGGCCGGTCTGGGAGGTTTTCCCTCATCCAAGCAAAACACGTCAGACCTGGGCACCTCGGGTCAGCCTCGGGCAGGGGCTGGCAGGGCCACTTAAGAGAGGCAGGAGTTTAAGGAAGTCTCTGAAGTCGCTCAGACATCTGCAGAGGCTAAAACAGCAATTTCCTCTTGGTGGCAGGACATGGTGTTCCCAGAGGAACACGTGGCCCCCAGGTGCTGATCGGCCTCGGCTGTTGTGTCCCTGACCGGCTTCCTGCGGCTCGGCCTGCTCAGAGCCAGAGTGAACCTGTTTGACAGTCCACACGGGAGCAAGGGCCAGGGCTGGGGTCACTGTGACCAGTAAGACATGGCCCATGCCCCTGATGAGCAAAGGACACGCCGGGAACTTCTGTCCCCCTAGCCAGCGGGGTTCTGGAGGTAATGACTACAACAGATGCTACAATTTGTTGAGAACTTACTATGTGCTAAGCGCTTCACGTGCATTCATTACCTCATTGATGTCAGAGAAGTCCTATTGCTCCATTTAACAGATAAAAAGACTGAGAAGGGTGCCTGGGTGGCGCAGTCGGTTAAGCGTCCGACTTCAGCCAGGTCACGATCTCGCGGTCCGTGAGTTCGAGCCCCGCGTCAGGCTCTGGGCTGATGGCTCGGGGCCTGGAGCCTGTTTCCGATTCTGTGTCTCCCTCTCTCTCTGCCCCTCCCCTGTTCATGTTCTGTCTCTCTCTGTCCCCAAAATAAATAAAAAACGTTGAAAAAAAAATTAAAAAAAAAAAAAAAAGCCTGAGATTCAGAGAAGTTAAGTCAAACGGTAAGTGGCAGAGCAGAGATGTGAACCCAGTTTAGTGCCTAAGACTTCACCCTTGATCACGATTCATTATCCAGACCCAAAGTATCTGGAGTAGTGGGACCCCACCCCTACCAAGGCTCCTGCCTTAGTTTCTCTGTACCATACATTTTCAGGGAGACAATGCCCCCCCCCCCCACTCAGGGCGCAACAATTGCTTCCGGGGGGGGGGTTACAAAAAAATCTTACTTTTTAATGTATAAAGCACTCATACAATATATAAACAGATGTATAGCATATCTATAGTATTAAAAGTTGATGTAGTATTAAAAGTTGATGCGGGGTGGGGGGGGGCTCCGATTAGAAAAAAAGTGCCTGGAACATAGTAGTTGCTCAGCAAACAGTCGTTCCTTCCTTCACTGCCCACTGGAGCCAGATGTGAATCGGTCCCATTGGGAGCTTTGCATATTAGCCCCAGTCTCAGCCCAGTCTCACCCAGGTCCACCCTCGCTCCGTGAGCCCTTGTTGTCCAGGCCCCAGCAGGCTCGACGTCAGAGTCTGCTCCCATTAGGACCCAGGTTCACCCCCGCCCAACATCCTTGTTTCCTCCTGGGAGGCCCCAGCTCCCCAGAGTTGGCTGTTGGGACTCGTTACGGGTTAAACAGGTACAGGCTCAGCTCAGCTCCAACGAAACTGAACACTTCAGGTCCCTGTGGTCAATTCTCCCAACACAGGAAAAAGGTAATTGTCAATTAACGAGCCCATCAACTGAGGCGGGAGGAAAATCAATAGCACGGACCAATACGAGTGTTCTAATGCCAGTCAGGATTCCGGGAGCGGGAGCCTTTCAAATAGGTACACGGAGTAATTGGCTGCTCCCTTGTGACCCGTCCCGCGGACTCTACAACTCTCCAATTAACATGTACCGTTGACAGGCACACAATTATTTGGGTTCACTGTGCCCCAGCTAGTGTTTGTTCAATCAGAACTTGCAAATACACAGAAAGTGCGCAGAATAGCAAACGCGGGATGGCTCTGGGGGAAGCCAGACAGCAAGTGGGTCTTAAAGGAACCCTGGACTTGGGATTTCTCTTCCAGAGAGCTGCCCAGAGAGTCTCAGCTCAGATGTTGGCCCACAGCCCTACTGTGGCCGGCCCCTGACTAGACCTGTCCTCATCCCACTGACGAACTCAGAGGGGGCTGCCCAGGGCTGGGCAAGCACTGTCTCCTGCGATCTACTGGAACCATCTACCAGGTGACTATCGTCCTTTGCAAAGAAGGAGCCTTCTGCCTGGAAGGCCATTTCTCATCTCTCCCACCTGGATCATTGTGACCCATCCAAATCAGTCTCCAGATCCTCGGGGATTCTTCCTGGATTTTTCCAGGCAGGGACCTTTTCCCTGTGCACCTTAGCTTCCTGGGCTTCCTTCTCCCTTAGCACGTATCCCATTGGGTCACCCCACTGTTTTATCTCAGTGTGCCTCCCCAAAGAGTAACTGAGCCCTTTGATGTCGGAGACTAAGCATCTCTAGACATCATCACTAGCAGAGAAGGGACTTAGTAAAGGGCTGTTGGGTGGACGGGCGGGTAGGTAGTGCAAAAAAAAAAAAAAAAAAAAAAAAAGACTTGGCGAGTGGACGGGTGGATTTGTGGGTATACGGCACAGCAGATGAGGAAATGGAGAGACTGGTTGGGAATGAAGGTGGGTAAGAGCGGAGAGGATAGGTGGGGGCATATAAAGAGGTTGGGGCTGGGAGGTCAATGGGTGGAAGGATGGCTAAAAAGACAGATGGGAGGCTGGCTGGATGGTGTTGGGTGGTATCTGGAAGGCCATTTAGCACTGTGGTTAGCAGCGAGGGCTCTGGAGCCAGATGTCTTGGGTTCCACCTAAGCTCTAGTATCCCCTTGTCTTCTGGCTGTGTGACGGTGGGCAAACGAATCATTCTCTTCGGGCCTTAGTTTTATTACCTTTAAAATGGAAATAATACTAGAACTTCCCTTTTAGCTTGTTGCCAGGGCTAAGGTATACCTGGGAAACACTTAAAACCGTGGCTGACACGAAGGAGGCCTGAAGAAACATCAGCCACTGTAATTTTTATTATTATCACCGTACCTATTGAGAGACAAGTCAACAGATGTGTGGAAGGATGGCTGGACGTGCAGACGGATGGATGGGCAGACGGATGGCGGCGTGACGAGGGAATGAGTGGGGGGACAACCTAATGCACACACAGATGAGTGGAGGGTGGGGGGAGGAGAGGAAGGGAGAGGATGGGGGGTTGGACACCAGAATGGATGCTCCGTGGGAAGGGCAGCAGGTGGAGCGATCGCAGGGAACCCTGCTCTGAACTCACCCCCAAGGCGTCAGAGTCTGCTACCTGCCGCACTCCCGACGGGAAATCCTATCGGAGTCGTCCCTCCCCAACACCTAGGTCTGCTCCTGCTCTGGCTCCTGACAGTTTACAAGCCAAGCTGTTCTCTGAGGCTCTCGTGACACTCAGCAGCTGGTCACACAGTCCCTGTCCTCCCTGTCACAGAGCCATGCCCAGGGCCAGGCGGGCTCTCCTCCCAGATGGCCCTGGTCCGAATCTGCTGGGACTTCAAGTCCGCACTGGGGAGCTCAGTGCTCCACCTGAGGCAGCAGGACACAGCTCTGCCCCTGTGACTCCTTTTACGCTGTGTAATTGCCCTCAGCCTCCCAGGAAACTGAGGGAATGGACTGAGCAGCGACTGCGTACCAGACCGACCCTTGGCGCTTTTTGTCATATTTAATCAGCATTACAATCCTAGAAGGTGGAGTGTAATCATCCGTGTCTCACACATGAGGTCGAGAACTCAGAGTCACGGAGAGCAAGTGGAATCAGGACTTGATCCCAGTCTCCCACTCCAGACACCAAGGCTCTTTCTACAACCTCAACATTCTTGGGGGCCTCAGAAGAGGATCCCATCCCATTTCCAGGGGGCACGCAAACTGTTGCTTGGGGACAAAGCTGGGACTATGCCAGGATTCTGGACTCCCCCAAAACGCCTTCTAGGGATAAAATGATATTTCTTATTGATCTTATGTTAGAACAACTTGGCTAGAAGAAGACCTGTTGGTTCAAAGAGTTCAACCATTGGGGGGGGGGGGGCGGGCCCAACCTTACTCCATATGCCGGTGAAGAACATAGACATGGACTCCTTTGGTCGCCAAGGATACCACAATCTAATGTGATATCTCCCCAGCAGGAATGGTCCCGGTACTGGTCAGACAGGTGGAACAGCCCTTCTCTGCCCGTCTCATGGGTTGGCAGCTAATCCTGAAATCAGCTTGTGATCCACTCTCAGGGCTCCTTGTGTCTTAAATGGGACTCCTGAGAACCAAGAGCCTTCAAAATCATGGATGAATCCTGAATCGCGCCCCCCAGGAGCCTCTCCAACTCTCCTGTGTGGGCAGGCCGACCCACTTGCACAGGTGTATCTCCCCCCTGAGCCAGACGGGAGGCCTTCTGCGCGGATCTCTAAATATCTAAAATTTTCCAGTGCTACCTGATGTTCAAGGTACCTTGTCATAGGATCCCCAAAACAGCTCCAGTACAAGAAAAAGAAATTACAGACCACTCCCACTTACGAAATGGGACAGGAAACTCTGAATAAAATATTAGCTGATGGAATTCAGCGTTTCACATTTTAAAGTACATCACGATCACGTAAAGTTTAACCCAGGAATGCAGGCTCAGCTCGGTATTGGAAAATTTATTCTACGACGCGGCACGCGAACAGACGGACGGAGAAAGATCAGAGCGTCATCTCAAAACATGCAGAAAAGAGACTTAATATCATGGAACACATATCCGTGATTAAAACAGAAACTCTCGGTGAAATAAGGGGAAAGGGAACATCCCTAATCTGATGAAGTGTATCTATGAAGAAATTTAAGCAGATATTTCACTCAAGGATGAGGCGTTAGGCCTAGTTCCTTTAAGTCAGGAGTGAGGTCGGATACCCTCTATCATTGACGCTGCTCCACGTTGAACTGAAGACCTAATCAACACAATGAGGAAAGAGGAAATGAGCAAATCGTGTAAGAATTCAAAAGAAGTAAAACTGACTTCATTTGCATTGCTATATAGAAATTGCCCAAGAATCTACAGTCTTCTAGAATGAGTAAGAGCGTTCGCTGTAATACAAGCTCAGTGTCTAGGTCTCAGTTGTGTTGCTATTCATTCTTAGTAATCAGTTCAAAACTCCTCTTAATGGGGTGGGGGACTTGGAGGCTGGAGGGCAGGGCCCCAGATAGAAAAGATGAGAAGACGGTTCGGCCAAAGACCAAGTCCAGCATCGATGATGCAGTCGCCATTATTATTTTCTCCTGGTACCCTTCCTGGGGAATAGCTGCTCAGCTGTTGTGGAATGCTGAACCTCCCCTTGGGTGTTGGCCAGGAATCTCCATTCCCAGTGGAGGGCTCTACCCCCGCAGGAGGTGTGAGGGCATCTGAAGGCGGTCAGTCAGGGAAAAAGACGTGGTAAATCTTTTTTTTTTGGAAGTATGTTTAACATCGTGTTGCATTAGTTTCAGATGCACAGTAGGAGTCAACAATTGTATACACTTCTCAGGGCTCATCAAGGTCATCTATTTCACCCATGTCCCCATCCACCTCTCCTTTGGCAACTACCAGTTTGTTCTCTGTTAAGAGTCTGTTGTTTTGTTTCTTGTTTTTTCTTTGTGTGTTCGTTTTGTTCCTTAAATTCCACATACGAGTGAAATCATATGGTATTTGTCTTTGTCTGTCTGACTTATTTCACTTGAGATTATGCCTTCTAGGGGCGTCTGGGTGGCTCAGTCGGTTGAGCGTCCGACTTCGGCTCCGGTCATGATCTCACAGTTCGTGAGTTCGAGCCCCGCGTCGGGCTCTGGGTTGATGGCTCGGAGCCTGGAGCCTGCTTCGCATTCTGTGTCTCCCTCTCTCTCTGCCCCTCCCCCACTTACACGCTGTCTCTCTCTCCTTCAAAAATAAATAAACATTAAAAAAAATTTAAAAAAAAATTGTACCTTCTAGGTCCGTCCGTGTTGTTGCCAATGGCCAGAACTCATTCTTTTTTATGGCTGAGGAATATTCCATTATATAGATAAATGGATAGACAGACAGACAGGTTCCACGTGTTCTTTATCATGGCTTAGCTTTTTAACATAACTGCCAGCTGGCGACTTGGAAACCCTCCGTCAGTTTTTGCTTACATGTGGGAGCCTGCCTTGCGGAAAGCAACTTGCTTCTGACCCTTTCTCGCCCTCTCTTCATGGAACCAAAGGGTGTTAGCATTGTAAGGGCACCCAGAAGCCACGCCCTTTGTCACTGGAGAAGCTAAAGCACAAAACAGTGAAGTGATGAACCCAGATCCCTACAAGCAGGAGCAACCGAGCCTGGATTACACACACACCTACCTACACCCCTGGGTGTGTGCCTGAGACTCATTCCACACCCTCCTGCACACCCACTGGGTGCCAGGCTCTACACTAAATCCTGGCATTGTACTTGGGATTGAGACAGACCCTGGGGCGCCTGGGTGGCTTAGTCGGTTAAGCATCTGACTTGTGATTTCGGCTCAGGTCATGATCTCACAGTTCATGAGATCGAGCCCCATGTTGAGCTCTGTGCTGACAGCACAGTGCAAAGCCTGCTTGGGATTCTCTCTTTCTCCCTTTGTCTCTCTGTCCCTCCCCCACTCATGCGGCGCTCTCTCTCTCTCTCTCTCTCTCAAAATAAATAAACTTAAAAAAAAAAAAAAAAAAGACAGACCCTCTCCCTCCTCTCTTAAACCTCACAGTCCTAGAGAGAAGACAGCCATGAATGGATAATTTGCATTACCGAAATGCACACAAGTAAAGAAATTAAGCAAAGAAAAATAAAAACCTGGGAGAGGCGTAAAGGGGACGCTCAGGGTGCCGGGAAGGGGAGTCAGGGACTGCTCCAAGGAGGCGCCAACATAGAAGGTGTGTCCGGAACGAGGCGCCACTCAAACAAATAAAAACTGTACAGGAGAAAAAAGACTCCTTTCAAAACCTCAAGACAACCCTGAAAGCTACCTCATAATAAACCGAGCAAAAGAGGTGCTTGACTTTTATGGAGAAACTCACAAAGCATTACAGAAGGAAATACAAGAAAACTCCGGAAACTGAGGGCAGGATGGGAGATGAGAAGGAGGGGGCGAAGGCAGGCAAGAGGGGCCTCCCCGCTGCCCACGCTGGATGGGCTCTGAGCAACACCCAATGGGAACGCAAAGAACGATTCGGATTCTGGGCTCTGGGCACTTGAGTTAGAGTTTCCCTCTGGTCACGGGCGGTGCTTTCATGCCCACTTTTTGCAAGCAGAGCTAATGCACATGCAATTTTGTAACCAGCCTTTTCCCACTTAACGATACAGCACGGATACTTCCCATATCGTTAAGGGCCGTTGAATAAAAAACCATGAAGAGTGGCTCTCCGAGGCAGACAAGCATGGGGGCTTCCCGGAGTTCGGAGAGGAGGACGGGGTGCGGTGGCGGGGGGGGGGGGGGGCACGGACTCAGCGTACCATCTGATCCCCTCGACCAGGACCTCCACAGGATGCAGAACTTTTCCTTTCATTCTGCAAATGAGGGAGTGGGGCCGGGGGGTACACGTGCCAGCTGCTCAGGGTCCCCAGGGCTCTTGGCTCTGTGCTGCTCCCAGAGCTGAGGTTGGGGGCAGACCATGCCTGTCCCCCTTTGTTCCCTGACAGCACGGGCACCGGGTTGTGGGGAAGGATACTCGTCCGGTCGCGTGCTGCGTGACCACACTGCCTGGCGGCATGCTGGAGCTTGGGCCGCAGGGGAAAACAGAACCAGGATCCTCCTGCCTTGGTTTCCTAGGACTGAGGCAACACCACCACCTTGGCAGCTTAGAGCAAGAGAAAGGTGTTATCTCCCAGATCGGAGGCCAGCAGTCCAAATTCAAGGTGGGGATAGGGCTTCGCTACCTCGGGAGGCTCTGGAGGAGACTCTTGCTTGCTCCTGGCAGCTCCTGGCGATCCTTGGTTCGTGTCCGCATCATCCGCTGTCTGTCCCCATCTTCACGTGCCATCTTCCCCTTGTCTCTGTGTCTCAAGCCTCTCCCTGTCTTCTCTTATAAGGCAACAGCCATTGGATTTGGGGGGTCCACCCTAAATCCAGGATGCTCTTATCTCCAGATCCCTGACTTAATTTTATCTGCAAAGACTAAGTCCAGGTAAGGCGAAAACACAGCCACCGCGGCTCAGGACTCGGACGTGTCTTTTTGGGGGGACGCAATTCAACCCACTCCCCTGGCCCACATTCTAGTGAAGGCAAATGAAGACGTTAGACGGTGACGAGTGCTGTGCCGAAGGCAGAAGGAGGGAGGGAAGAGGACAGAGCCTGCGGAGCGGGCAGGGCGGTTCTGAGCCGGATGCTCAGGGGAGGCGTCACCGGGAAGGTAACATCTGAGCACAGATGTGAAGGCGGTGACGGAAAAAGCCATGTAAGTATCAGCGCGCAAAGTGTCCCAGGGAGAAAGACCAGCAAGTTAAAGAGGCCGAAGAAGAAGCATGCCTGGAAAGAATCAAGCATGGGGAAGAGAGGGAGGAGGGGAGTCCGGGCAGGGGTGGGCCCCCCCCCGTCCGCAAGGTTCCTGCAGGCTCTTGCTCTGAGCAAGATGGGAGCCATGGGAAGGTTTCCAGCAGAGGTGAATACAACAGGGGCGCGTCACCTGCTGGGCGCAGACCAGCAAGGAGGAAGCTACCAGATCCAGACGGGGGATGCTGGCTTGGACCGCCATGGCGCCAGTGGAAATGGAGCATTGGTGAGAATTCTGGGTGCGCTTTGAAGGCAGGGTCAGCAAGATTTCTGATGGGTGGGAAATGTGAGCAAAAGGGAGGAACCCCGTACAACAGCTGGGTGTTTTGGCCTGAGGAGCCCAAAGCGCGCACTTGCTTCTGACCACGATGATGGAGGCTGCATGACGGACAGAATCATGGGAAAGCTTAGGAATCACATTTTGGACAAGTTGGGCATGAGACGTCAATTAAGAAGAAATGCTGACTCGGGGCAGGGGGTGCCTGACTGGCTCAGTCGGTAGAGCCTGCAGCTCTTGGTCTCCAAGTTGTGAGTTCGAGCCCCAGGCCGGGTATAGAGATTAC